TTTGTTCAGCACCTTACTTCCGTGAGCGACACTGACTCACGCTGCTGTCTGGAGTTCGTGAGATGTATTGTTTGTCGCGCTGGAAACGGAGTGTTACTCAGTAAGTGGGTATCCCTAGTGATGTTTAGGATCGGAAACCACTACATAATGCAGTTCTCTTTAGCCTAGCTCGAATGATGAGGAGTGACATTCCCGAAATAGTCGCCGGAACCTCTTCTTCAGACAGTAGATCTCGTACATAATCATTGCATTATTATGCCATGTGAATATGATTGATGATGCATGATGGACCAAGGCTGGAATATGTATATAAATATTACCTGAAGCCGAGTGAATATGGGCGAATATTCACTAGTATACAAACCGAGGCGAAGCCGAGGTTTGTATAACTAGTGAATATTCGCCCATATTCACGAGGCTGAAGGTAATATTAGACTTATACCTCTCCATATTCACCCTCTCGTCCCTAAAACCCAACAAACGAGTCCTGTTGGTCATACATGCACATGTACGCAGAACTAACGTAAGTCGTTGTTGCTCCACTGAGCCTTCAGACCGACTGGCGTGTTCTTGCCTGAATCGGAGGCCGGCGTGTCCAGAATCTTGTTCAATCGATCGTGTACGCGTACTGGTGCATGTGGCATGGGAGGTGACGACCTTGGAGAACACGCTCGTGCCAATCACCATGGAGAACACGCTCGTGCAGCTTTGTGGCGGGAGCCAATCATTAGAGAGGTTTCGTTTCACGCGAAGATTTGACCAATCAGAGAGAGGTTTCGTTTCACGCGAAGATGTGACCAATCCGCGATCATCGCGCCAATTCGGGAATCGGTTTATAACAGCGAGCCAAGCGGTTCTACCCTCACTTCTTTTCTTTTTAGGCAGCGCTTCGGAGCTGTTGTGTGCCCTAGGAAAATTCTACGCTAACGTCCTTGAACAGGGCTGTTCTGAGTACAAACGAAATTCTTGGCTTGCCGCTTGAATCCGCAATCATCGGGCCATTGACATGTTGAGCGTCCAAAACCTTGTCTGCTCGCTGGAAGATGCTCACTGTCAGCACCCGGTCACATGCGGATCCAGCGGCAATGGCAAGCAAGGAATTTCGTTTGTACTCAGAAAAGTCCTGTCTACGGAAGTTAGCGTAGACATTTTCTAGGGTACTCGACAGCTCCGGTGCGCTGACTGAAGAGGAATCAAGCGCAGCACCGAGTACTGCTCTCTTTACCACAGTACAATGTAAGTATCGAAAAGTGGTGAATATAAGTGGTGAATATAAGTGGTGAATATAAGCGGTGAATATTCAGCAATATTCACCACTTATGTAGATGGTCAATTGTATGTGGGTGAATATGGAGTGAGGTATAATGATTGATAATACAACAGCCACATAAGGGTGTTTTAAAATGAACGGGATCTGCCACAGAGAAGACGAGTTAGCTGTAGTGACTAGTGTAGGGCATACACTAGCTCATGGGTTGCAAGCTTGGCGGTGTGAAAGTATACTTGAAGAAAAATGTTGCGCACCGACTGCAATGCCAGCAGTGCCAAGAAAACTATGGCTTTTAAAGCCGTTAGGATTGTGAGTAAGAATGAACGAGCCCTAGGCCCTGCAAACAAGACCTGTCCCTGCGGGAATTTGCGGAAAAAACTCTCGAAAACTTGCGCAAGAAATTGCGGCAGAAAACAACAAAAAATGCGACGAAAAGTGCGGTATGATGTAGAACTTGCCAGGAATTCGCGGAATTATTTGCAGAAAATTGCGGATTTGAGCCAAATCACGAAATTTGTTGCATCGTACATCTACTCGGGAGTAGTACGAGTCGTAGATCTACTGTGCAAATAACCTACAGGATCATGGAAAGCACTGCGTGAAAAGTGCATAAAGATGTGAGATATACATTATAGTGCAGAAAACAACAACAAAAACGTGGGAAATCGTGGATTTTGCTGAAAATCGCGGGTTTGGGCCAAAATCGCGAAATTTGTTGCATCCGTGGAATCGCGATTTCCTGGAGGGACAGCAAGACTGAAGGGGCGTACATAATGGAGAGCCCCCCCCCCCCCTCCCCCTTCGGTGCACCGAGAAGACAAACCGCATGAGAACAAAGCAAGCCAGAAAAAGACTGAATGGCTGTTGGTGACCGCGTCTTCTCTTCCGTGTCAGTTCTCTCGCCAGTGCATGTGATACTAGTAAGCCTAGTTCACATTCGACGGGGCGCGACGGGTCGCGACGTAAGGATCGACGGGAAGCGACGGGACAGTCTGACGGCGTCCAATGTGAACACCAGGAACGGGAACGCAACCGTACTGCCGTACGGATCGGGAAGCGACGGGAAGAGTTGGCCAATTGGATCGATCCAACTTTTCATACCGTAGACGGGCGTAGACGGGGACGCAAGCGTACAAAAACGGCTGCAATTTGAGTGTGAACAGGAGACGGCGTCGTGCGCCGACTACTCCCGATTCGTACTTGGAAATGTTTAGCATTTCGAACACTGCGCCTTCCATGATAACTTGCAGAATGGCTAACACGACGTGAGTTTAAATTTTAGCAAGATAAGGTCTGATGTCACTTATGCCATATTGTTATGGTGTTTAGAGATAGTTCAGGAGCGTGACCAGGTGACACTGACTGTGTTATCATTTCCTGGAGCTATGGCTTGAAAGTGCTACATCACAGCATAGCAACAATTTCAAAAATTCAAAAACTGGATCCACTTGGATCCAGTTTTTGTATGGATCCAAGCACATTTCAAGCGGTCTTACCCACAGCATGGTGATGAAGCCAGTGAAACTGACTGATTTGGCTACTGGGGGCGGGGTTACAACTGGTGGCGAAATAAAAGTCACACCTGCATGCGACATGAGTGGGTTGCTATGCACCCACATACTTAGGCAATAGCAAAGTCACACCTCAGTGGATCCAAAAATAGAAATCTGATGTCAACTTACTACTCCCTGGCCGTTTTGACGTCATCACTTTCAAGCCCTATTATTTGAATGGCACACCTTTCGAAGCTACCTTTTTGGTGTTCATAAAAAAACTGGTACCGTAAAATCCCGCGGATAAGCCCACCCGCGTATAAGCCCATGCCCACGCATAAGCCCAGGGTTTGTTCGAACATCACAAAGCTTCTATTCATCGTACAAGCCCATGGGCTTACTACTACTAGTAGGTCATACCGAGAGTCCATAAATATTGGACTCTTGGCCATACCATGTACAGTAGGTATCGGTTATAGCGTGGGTGTTTGAAAAACGACTTCAAGTTCTATTCCTATTTCCGATATTTCTTACACACGATAAATCAAGTGTGGCATATCACATGCATGTGCGCAGGGGCAGGAAGATCATCGTACATGATGACAGTACTTCTGTGCATGTGGTTGGTCATAGTCCCGGTGATAGGCTTACCATGTGGCTATGCAAAATGGTTTACATGATCACAACTTACATGTAAATCCGCAGCACTACGACGCAACGAGTGTCAGATCAGAACGGAATTGGACAGATGCTATTACTACAGGCGATACACGTTGTACTAATCTGGCATGTTTCGCTACACAAAGTCCATTCTTAGGACCGATATATTCTACTATGGGACAAAATTGCTTGTAAGAATAAATGTGCACTTGAAATCCATGTTATGAATATGAAAACATGAGAGTTCATTCTTGTAGGCGGTATATTCTTTTACATGATCACACACTATAACCGATACGCACTGTACATGTACGTAGTACATGCACGTTAGTTTTTTCCGTGCATTTCAGCACAATCATCGGTTGTTTTTGTTTGCACAGTGATTTTCAGCAATGTACTTCTCACTTCCTTGATGCTTTTCAATAGCACAACTTGGTGTCGGCGTATAAGCCCATGCCGGCGTATAAGCCCATGTTCTCGTATAAGCCCACCGAAATGTCACCTTGTGAAACAGATAAGCCCACGGGCTTATCCGCGGGATTTTACGGTATTGTGAACTTGATTCCGCTTCATTCAAGGAGAGATAATTGAAAAGAAGTCCCGAAAAACAAGAAACTGCACCAACGAAAAGCCACTGCAATGTGACCATGGTGACAGCAATGCGGTCAAGCACAACATTTTTGCTGAAGCAAAAAATTGCAGGGAAATCCCAAAATCAGTGCGATTTAACATGAGCCCAAATGTTCAAGTTACCCACAAAGACACAAGCTTTCCAACTCTCTTTGGCTGTTGGAAAGCGTACCTTCCCGACAAGCCCTTACGTCCCGTACCGTCAGCGTTCCGTCGGATGTGAACTAGGCTATAGGGCTAGTACTACAGCATTCAACGCATCATCTGCGAACGTCGTCCGAAATTAGATCCAAAGTCCAGTCACACCCGCCGGATGTACATTGTGTATCACCCTGCTGTGAAGTAGAACCACCCACACGTGTAGCAGATCCGAAAGTCAGCGTTTGTCATGACTGCGGGCTGGCTGTGACGTAGCATTTTCAAGCCCAAAAATAATTAGCACCCCGACTTTAAATAAGTTTAACTCTGTACAACATGTACTTGTCTGCGTGCCAAGAAGTTGTCATATCAACGCCGTAGCAACAAGCAACCCCCCCCCCCCCCCCGATCAGCAGACGATGTATTCCGGTAACAAGAACACCCTAGTAGTACTAGTATTGTTTTTAAATCAGACCCATATCAATTTGGCAAATAACATTAATTTTTTGAATACCAGCTCCACGACTAGAATAATATGTACTCCACACTCTCCATGGTCCTTGTTTTGCATGAAGCAGCAGCAGCATCAGCAGCAGACCCTTGCACACAATGACAGTGCATGGAAATGATGCCAGCGTGTACGCCAGCATGATCAAGCTGCACGTGTACGACGTACATGCATCGACGTTTCAGTGATGCCGGCTTTCCGTGCAGACAGTGCCGCTAGCACGATTGTGTGCCCGTGGGTGTGTTGAGTGTGCAGAGCTACCTCAAGACTGTGGCCATCTACCAACCATACAGTATCAGACACAATGTGATCACGGTCCCATAGGTCATGGACCCATAATTATGTTCGAAAATTGATCAAAATTTCAGAGCGAAAAACACAGAAACAGATCAAAAAATTCAATAGTTTTCATCTACTAATGTAGTACCACAATAGAAGGTGTTTTCTGATAAACTGTGAGATAATCAATAAGCATGGCAGGCTCACTGCATCCACAAAAAATACTCTATTTTGATAACCACAGATGCATGAAATCTTCAGCTCTATAAAACTATAATAGAAATCCGAGCCCTGGTAGTGGGTATTGGGTATAGTCGTATCAGGGTAGTCAAGTGGAAACCATTATTTATTAGCGTGAAGACTGCGACCGGTCTGTACATGAATCTACTGGTAATTTAGATTAGACAAACCGCATCAGTTAGTTAACGGCTAGCTTTGGTCTCAACTTCCACTCAACTGGCAAGCCCTTTTCCGCAAAGGGAAAAAAGATGAAATTACGTGCTCAACTCAAGCGCAATCAAATGTTCTCAGAGATTGCAACGGTAGTGTGAATATATCGGTGTGCAGTACTCTGAAAGCAGATAACAGCTATGAACAACCATGACATATAACAGCTATGAACAACCATGACATAGCTAGAACTTGTAGAACTAAAAACAGCAATATATTATGATATGATAGGCGTTGGCTCTCAGCAGAAATACTTCTGGTGCTTACCTGGTCAGTTTGCAGAGCAAATCGCACCAATCACACTATGGCCTCCTCCATATCCTGAGTGCCGGTCACTGTAATCTTCACCGACGGCAACACTAGTTCTGATTCATCCACCTCTTGCACATCACTGTATCGCGAGGTCGGTGAGGTAGCCATAGTTTTCATCTGGGTGGTCACAATGACAGCCGGGCCACTGCTTTTACTGGAGCAGACGCCAACGTTTGCAGGTGTGCTGTGACGCCGCTCCAGCTCAAAGCTATTGGTTGTGAGTGAGCTCAAGCCAGCACTGCTAGTGCAGGCTGGAAAGACAATGACGTCTTCATTAGTCGTGATACTGGTGGGAGAAAGAGGGCAGAGGGGACTGATGGGTGGATTCTCAGAAGCCTCGGAGATGGATCCGAACGAGCCTATGGAACTCCTTCCGACAGATGATGACACGCCAGATGATCTCGGAAAGTCACGTGGCGATAGAAAGCTTCCTCCGGACGACAGTGCTAACGACTGAGAACGGTAGGTTCTCATTGGTCGACCATCACCACTGCCTGTGGATTTGCGTGGCAGTGAAAAGTCAGAGCTACCCATATACCCGTTCAAGCCGCGTAGAGATGGCTTTGAACCATACGCAGAGTACTCACTGGCGAGACGGCGTCGCTCGCCGCCTTTCATTGAAAACGCATGTCCCAGCGCAGAGTCTGGGTGCTGCTGTGCCCAGTCCAGGACGCTGTCGCGATGCACCGAGTCCAGCGAGACTGTGCCGCGGCGACGGAGCGCTGTAGCGCTGGTGCTGCGCATCAAACGCATCTGAGCTGTAGTGGCCTTGCTGAGTGTTAGCTCCTCCTTGGTTGGCCACTCGACCCGCCGAACTTTGGGCAAGTAGAGAACGGCCGCCATGACTCCAAACTGGAAGAACACCTCCAGAGACCGCACTGCATACTGAATATCAGGTGTGGTCTCCAGCACCGCCTTGCCAACAAACGCCAAAATTTCAATCAGGCTCGACAGGTAGACAATGATGGAGATCTCCCGGCTCTCCGCATAGTCATTCAGGACTCGTCGAAGCTTGAAGCACAGGAAACTATTAAACAATACTACAGTCAAATGAACTGCTAGCGTGAAGTACTTGAAGCTCTTATCGTTGCAGCGATCAAAGTAGTAGGGCTGGTGGTCAATGATCTCCTTGTCTTCTTCGACTGCCAGAAGATCAGCACTCGTGGCGATGGACAACACAATACAGAATAGCAAAACGAACACAACCAGATACAGTGCTAGGTCGTTGTTCTTCAGTCGTGTCTTACCACGCGGTTTGATCATGGCCTTGTTGCTGAAGATTTGCTCAATCCTCCAGCTTTTTAGCAGTATGCTACCATAGCTCAGGGCAAAGCCAACTTCAACTGTCCAGTGGAACATGATACATGTCACTTTCGATGCCTGGCTCTCTCCAAATAGACCAGCAAATGCCAACAAACAGCCACTCAGAATCACCACCAAGAACTGCCAGCTTGCCGACCTAATCGGGGCCTCCTTCCGTTTTACAATGACATAGATGAGCAATGCGACGATGAGGACCACTGCTAGACCATTGACAATGTGAAACGGAAGCACGATAGCTAGCTTTGTCTTGTAGCGACAATCGTCCTGGCTGGATGTGCATGTCCGGCAGCGATTGGGACACTTCTCGCACTTGAAGTACTGCAGCTCAGCGCGAATACCTGCCTCGCATGAACTAGCGCTCAAATTGTGCACTCTCTCCGACAGCTGAAATCCACTGATGGATTCAGAGTTGTTAGAATGAGGGTAGTAGAAACCTTCCTTGCACTTGCACACATAGTAACCATCGCGTAGTTTAAAATCGTTCGTGTCAATGACGGTTTGACACTGTGACGTAGCCAGATCACACATGTTTGTGTCTGCAAACACGTTTGCACCTGTAAAGTTCGCTATGTTGGCAGAGCATTGGCTGATCTGTATCCTCCCAAGATCAATATCAATTCCAGCCATTCCCAGATAGTGTACTGTTTTGTTGTGGTACACTGCCACTGGTGCTGCATAGGTTACCATCCAGGTAAAACCAAGATCACAGTCGAAGTATGGGTTTACCCATAGAGAGTCAGTGTACCTTGTGTGTACTGGGCAAACGACATCATCCGGGATTTCACAGCTCTCGGCGGATTCCAGTAGCGTCAAGTTGCCACGAGGACAAAGGCGTCTGCACTCTCCACCCAGCCATGCATCTGTCTTTTGGATGCTGGAATTTTGAAGAAATTCCTTGGCTGTTTCGTACCACGCCGGCGCATCAGCATCGTCGGACACTCTATGTAAGGTACTGATATGGTGACCATTTTCTCCCTCATCAATACTTAGATTCCGAGGGAAATAGAAACACTCACTTCCAGTGTACACACCATTGCCCAAACAGCCTCCTACAGCAAAGATATTGTCAGTCAGAGCACTACTTCTTGCTCTTGTAGCAAACAATATATTTCCCTCACGAAAGAAGTTTGTAGTTTCCAGCTGGTTGCATCTGTGGTTGATAAAACTGTCATCGCCTTTTGGCCAAATGGTGTTCACTGGGCGCATGTCTGCAATGAGACTTGAGAGGAGGTGAGCATTCTCCACCGCAAACTCTGCGTGGAACCGGAACTCAGTGAAGTTGATTGTAAGGTCGCCAGGATCACTCTTACAAACATCTGCACACCGCGATGCATTTTTACCACAGAACATATCACTCTCATCTTTGGCAAGCTTGATTTTGCTGAAGAATTCCACTACTTTCTTCTGCGAGGTACATATCCGGTCAACCAGCTGATCATCAGTACTTCCTGTATGTGTTGAGCTGGACACTGCACAGCTCACAGCAACCAGCAACACCAACCACCAGCAACTGAATGTTCCACAGTTGCGAGATGTCCTCTTTTTGCGCACCAGGTGCTGCAATATACCAACAACAAAAACCACAGCATGCCTCTTAAATTCTCAACTGATACAGAGAGAGACAGAGAGACAGAGAGAGAGAGAGAGACAGAGAGAGAGAGACAGAGAGAGAGAGACAGAGAGAGAGAGACAGAGAGAGAGAGAGACAGAGAGAGAGAGACAGAGAGAGAGAGAGACAGAGAGAGAGAGACAGAGAGAGAGAGACAGAGAGAGAGAGACAGAGAGAGAGAGAGAGAGAGAGAGAGAGAGAGAGAGAGAGAGAGAGAGAGAGAGAGAGAGAGAGAGAGAGAGAGAGAGAGAGAGAGAGAGAGAGAGAGAGAGAGAGACAGAGACAGAGAGAGAGAAAGAGAGAGAGAGAGAGAGAGAGAGAGAGAGAGAGAGAGAGAGAGAGAGAGAGAGAGAGGGGCGAGAGAGAGAGAGAGAGAGAGAGAGAGAGAGAGAGAGAGAGAGAGAGAGAGAGAGAGAGAGAGAGAGAGAGAGAGAGAGAGAGAGAGAGAGAGAGAGAGAGAGAGAGAGAGAGAGAGAGTGACAGACAGACAGAGAGGGGCGAGAGAGAGAGAGAGAGAGAGAGAGAGAGAGAGAGAGAGAGAGAGAGAGAGAGAGAGAGAGAGAGAGAGAGATAAAGAGAGATAAAGAGAAGGTAGGAAGAGGTAGGACTCTGTCCAACACCGCCCGGAAAAATTCATAAATAAGTATGTCACGTCTGAAAAAAGTCCCCATTCATTTCTTACTCTGACGTTGTGGTCAAGTTTTTGCCCGAAATACGTAACTGTATGGTGGTTGAACGAGCTAGTGTGGCATGCACACATATAATTATATGCATTGTACGACGTATACTGGAAAATGACTTGTCCACTGTGCGCAAGTCAGGTCTGACGGTTAGTTCGCGTTTCACAGTTAATACCCTGGCCAAAGACTAGCACGGGTGCTACCACTGAATTTGAAAATACGTACAATGTCATACTTATAACATGAGCAAGAGAGAGAGAGAGACTAAATCTAACTTTGCACAAATTAATTCAGGGACGTTGGAAGGTATTTTACTGTGGTACGGTCAGCCATCTGAAGTACAATTTACTCGTGGGGGAGGGGTTGCTGAGCGAAACGTTTTGGAAATTTAGAGCCCAGACCAGTGTATTTTAATTTTTATTGATTCCTGGGGGGCACCTGGGACTAAAAGTGATACGGTCAATACCGTAGTGACCGTACAGTGATAAACGGTAACAAGATATTGCAAGGTTGAACCATTGCAATACAGAAAGGCGCAGGAAATTGTTTGCTTAGATGCCCACAGCATCAGTACACCAGGAAATTGTTTAAGTTATCGCCATATCGGAAAGCCTCCAGAACAAGTGAAGAGAAAGCAGCACTGGAAGTCTTGCTTTTACTATTCTCCATTTCCATTCCATGATTGTTCCGGACTCAAGTTATTGGCCCTAGTGTGTGCTTTCGATAAAGCACATTTCAATATGTACTAAATTGGAGCAGTGCCATCACTGAGTTTGCCGAAGCACCCAAGAATGTCCCGGAAAAAGCAATCAGACTGAAGAAATAAATTAGCTTCAGGCTCTTCGCAACCGACATTTTGAAATATCTCCATGTATTGAGTACTAGTAATGCAGATGAGCATACGGCCTCAGAGCAAACTAACCCAGCCTCCTCTATTCTTGCATCACTTCAAGCAGACTACACGAGTACTACTGTTGTGAACATGGATATCCGTGGGGCCGGTGCCCTCAGCGCGTACAGAACGTTGCAGGCAGTGCACATGTTGATCCGATGCGACCAGCGCGCTGCAGCGCATAACTGAACGTGTGATCGTACCGCTTACGGCAGCATGGCCATGGACGTGCGGCCGGATTTCCATGTCCACACGTGACAGTACTACAGGGCAATGGAGGTATTAATTTTCTAAATGTGTACTAGCTATGTGTACTGGCTTGGATTGGATTGGTTATATAATGTCGAATAACAAACAGGCAGTGTTGCCTTATTACATAAGATCGACTACAGGCACACAAATGTAAGGAAAAAGGAAAGATTAAAGAAAAAAAAGAGTAGGATTTAAGACAGCAGGGGTAAGATTGCATAATTATTTTGATCAGTGAGCAGTGGCTGTGTCAGTGGCTTGGAGGGCACTAGTACAGAACTGGTCCTGTTGGGCAGTAGGTTATTACCGGACCGGCTCTGTGTGTCCACCAATGCATGTTTATAGCTGAGGAGGTTATACGTATCCAATTATATCAAACACCATGTAGGAAAGGCTTTGGTACGACGGAAGCAATTGAATACTGCTTTCGGTGGTCCTGTACTAGTAGTACCCTCCAAGTCAGTACACATAACGTCGCTGCAGGTGGAAAAGCCAATCCATAGTACCCTGTAGCCCTGTCTTACCTATGCCACTGCACACACTGGAGTGCAATACTGTCTTATTGAACAACATTCCTCTTGATTGGCCACATTATTGCAGAAATATTGCGAATAATTGACTTGTGACCAAGTCATACCCCCAAGTGTAAAGGACTCCCACCCTCAGAATTGTCCAAATCATGGCACATGTGGCGATAATGTGCAAGAAATTATTGCACATGACGAAGATTTTCTTTGATTGAACACGAAAATCACTTGAAAGGCTTTTCGCCTACACATTTACTCTAGTCTAGGCTTCACTTTTCCACTACATTGATCAGGCGCGTACGCAGGGGGGTTCCCGTTGCCCGGAAACCCCCCAAATGTTCCAAACGAGCAACGTTTTTTGGGCTTTTTTGGTAGGGCGCACGATCAATCTGGCAAGAATGCGAAACTTCAACAGATCGTAACTCAGTCAAATCTCGCTCTAATCCATCGATCCAAATATCCAGGTCGAATAGAAAATTCTCGGCTGTCGGTTGAAACAATTTGCGACGCGTTGCGAGCTATGTCTCTTGAGATACCGTATTATCTCCAATATAAGCACAGTCTCCAATAATAGCACGTCTCCAATGATAGAACACCTTGGGGCGGCATTCAAAAAATAAAGTGCTCAGTCTCCATTATAAGCACTCTGTGTAAATTCATTATCTGTACCGGCGAAAAAAACCCTGAAATGTGTGCGTCATACATGAATTTGGCATGGCAACATGCCTCTGAAATGAGGTTGAAATAATAATGGAACAGTCTCCAATAAAGGAACGTCTCCATTAATAGCACGGGGCGGAGATACATTGAAAAAATAAAGGACCGTGCTTAAATTAGAGATAATACGGTAAATCATTTGTAAGTTGAGCCGCGATCTCGGCAATTTCAAAATCGCGCAGAGCGACTTGAGTATCGAGAATTTGAAACTTTTCGTCACCCTGACTTGCTCAAATTTCCAGGGGCTTCACTGCACTTGTGATATGTTCAAGAGTACACAGCAAAAGATCAAAAGTCTGCGATCAAGAAAAACGAAATCGCTGGAGCAGGACGCGTTTGGGCCTTTGGGGCATTTTTCGCATCGTCGCTGCACTCCACCGCTATCGCTGGATATGTACATGACTGTACTGTGTCCTGGCTATCATGGTCGACCTCATTCTCTCCCAGGTACCTTTCCACTTCCAGGAAGCCCAAGATAATGAAGATTGAGAGAGTAGATCCGAAGTTATGATCAAAAGAACACGAAAAAATGTATAATTTTCAAAATTTCCTAGGGCTCTTTACAAAGGGTTAACACTCATTGTTTGGGATTCAGTTGGAAACCCCCCTAGAGGTGACCCTGCGTAGATCTACGCGCCGCCTGTTGATATGCATGACCCACCTTGGCCGGCTTGCAGAGATCCGAGGAGGTCGTCGAGTGCACAGTGACCTGGCCACTCATCACGCGAACGCCCTGGTCTTGTTGAGCTTTGACGGCAGCAGCTAGCCCAGCCAGGACATACAGCCACGCCTGGCTGTGGCACGGACAACCGGCCCAGTACAGAGCACGAGTGTCACCAGCGCTAAATCATGGCGAAGGCTAATACTACAGACGATGACCACTACAAGTAGATCTACGTCGAGGCGGCACGGAAGCAAGTCAGCACGCTGGACCAAAGGCAAAGAGCTGAGTGAGAGGGCGACGCGATCCAAGTGCTAACTGTACTAACGACGTGATAAGTGCACCGACAGACTGCACAGTCACTGTATTTTGTTACTGGTGTGTCTAACGACGACCGGATCCACTCAGCCGAGAAGGTGCACAGCAGTGTTCTACGAAATGCAGTTAGTATGCGATGGTCCACAGTCCGTCAAAGTGCAGCCACTTGAACTCGGCAATCCTGCGTCACCGATCTACGCGACGGAGTATACCTACTTCTTTTCAGCAACAAACTTACTTTTTGCGGGTAATCAGGCTTGTAATAACAATAATTATTATTAGGCCATTGGCGTTGGAGCAGAATTAGCTTGAGATATTCGGACCAGAACAGCTTCACTGTTCATGAACTACATCAGTGCTAGTTGCTTCACCATCCTCTGCTGTGCCCTGTTCGACATTCTACCTGCCAACCCATATGGCCATGCAGATAGCTGTGCCAAACGAATCCGTAAATTTCCACCGTACTACATGTACTAGCATACCAGCTCCTCGTGATAAACGAAAATACACCCATCGACTTTCTTATCTGGGTAGCTTGTTGCGGACAATCACCACACGCAGCGCTCTAAAAGTACCACGCTGCATACCTGATCGTGACTAGCTCGACATGCTGGCTGCTGGGACAGCCCAAAAATCGGGTGGTACGCAACGAGTTCATAACGGGCGCGATCCTCTGCGCGATCGCGAGCCGGCAAGTCCTGCTGCTGGCGGAGAATCCGGAGACGTTTGTGTTCACTTCACGTGAGATGAGAACGGCGAAGCGACAGTCGACTAGTCCGATCCGTGCAGACTGTCAGACAGCTAGCTAGTCCAGCGTTGATGACTGCGATGACTGGAGGATCTAGGAAGGTGCTATGCATGCATGCTCGTGCCGTCTGGGAATATTTTCGGTCACACGTAGATCTACGTAGAGGATCGATCTAGTACTACAGTCTGTACGGACTGAGTCAGTAGTCTACACAGTGAGTGCGTTCGATTACACACTTGAATCGATTCATGAATCCATTCGCATGCATTCAAGTCGTTCGATTTCATGTCAGGAGCCCTGGAATCGATTCGGAATCCATTCACTCTATTCACATGGGGTGATGTGAATAGCGCGAATCGATTCATGAATCGATTCGTGAATCGATTCGTGAATCGATTCGCGTGCATAATCGAACGCACTCACTACAGTCTACTGTGCTGGCAACTGAAATCCGACCCCCTGAGCGGTGGGTTCACATTTTAGCGGTCTCTGTTTCGTAATTTTACCATCCCGCGTTGGGTCTTTGCGATGTGAGCGCACCGCTCGGGGAGGGGGGGGGGGTCGGATTTCATTTGCCAGCACTGTGCATGGTGTCTACGGATCACCAGAATGATCATATCAATGCTGCTGAATGAAAATATTTTTGATTTATGTACAGCACGATCCATTTTATGACTGTATGCGTGTGTCTGGTCTGTAGTGTGTAGAAAAGATTAGTGTTAGATCTTCATCGTAGATCTACGCGCAAACTGATGGATCGGAATACGTGCCACATTACATAGCATGCGATTTTTAAATAGAGAGTCTAGAGATCCGACGTCTGTCACATCAAATGTCAGCAACTTACTTGACACAAGTCCTGCTCAGGCGCCTGGTTTGCACTAGCTGCATACCGGTAGCTAAACGCCGTTTATATGTTACATAATTATGTCATTGATGAATCTGCTTGGCTCATGGCTTGGCGCTGGGCCACTGGCCTGGCGGGGGACATGGTGACAGTCAATCCCAGCACATCATCGCCATCGGTTGTAAAAGTGAGCTAGCTCTAGGACACTGGCCTGTAATGGAGCCAAGAGGTGAGACGCGGAGGAGGAGCTTACAGTGATTCCGTACCAATTGTGTGACTGGAGGAGCGTTTGCTAGCGAATTGCAGGTCCAAAGCTGAACGAATCACCAGTTACACCCTATCCAGAGGAGATTGAGATTGATTGTGCCGACAGCTGCTTTGACACAAGTGAAATCCAGCATTCCACTGCCATCAGCACATAGCGGGACCCTGGACATTTTGCCTTGCATGCAACCAGCCACAATGAACTAATTTAGTAATTACCGGTACTAGCCTCACTTGTCTGTCCAATGCAATGGTTGTCTCTACATCAACCTTGAGAAGACCCTCAGGTCTCCTTGGGATCATCTAAATGGCAAACGCCATCCCGAACAAGCAGCTCTGGAATCATTCATTCAGTGTTCATGTAGTTGTAAGGCCATCAACGCTTCTACTTCTAGTCTTCAGAAGTGTGATAGCCGTATCGTCTGGAGCTGAGGTGATGCACCTGCTACTGTCATGACACTTCTTCACGTTGAGATGGCCCCTAGGATGTTTGTAGCTTTGTGCATTTCAGGCAGTACAAGTACCTACATGTGCATGACTGTAGTGTGGTCTCCTCTCTGAGTCATTTTTTTAGTATCTTTATGTCCCCACGCAGGCTATTATTACAACACAGGACTAGTACAACAATACACCAAGCTCTATATTAGACTATACTGAGGGTAGCTTGTACGTAGGACCACTGGACGAGACGATGGTATTGCGCAATGTCCCCTGCACGCATTGCACCATCACTGGGCATCACGCATTTCACCATCAGGGCATCACGTATTTCGTGCTTGCTTTATGAATGCTGAGGTACTCGAAGGCTGCCCCTGCGGGAAGAGACACTGCTTCGTCGAGGCGTATAAAGAAGCTTCTTCACTTCAGTCTTCTGCCCTGTACTAGTAAATGAAGTAAATGAAGTACATTGTAAATACACTGGTCAACCTCGTGAATAACAACCTCAGGTATATAAAATTAATATCAACAACTCCCAAATAACTACATGTACATTATACGCAATCTTCAAACCTAATAACCAATGAGTTGACTTTGGTTCAACCTCATCACGACCAACGAAACGTTTCTCGTGCACGATCCACCAGGGTCGGTATGCGCAAGGTTGACTGTGCAACGCACACGATTACAGGTTATAGACCTTCTTCATGAGCTTGGTTGCATGGCGGGTTGTGATGAAAGAGAGAGAAGAGACCCTGAATCGCTGCATGGCAATGTCAACGATTGCGTAAACGCGTACGCGATCAATGTTCGCAGAGCGTCACTAGAAGGTGCATGTAATGACGATGTCACGTTGGCATGTGGGCCGTGTCATTTGTGACACAGCTGTCGGACGTCAGAGGTTTGCTGAGGGCTAAAAGCGGCGCCCGCTGAAACGGCAAACACTGAAACAGTGCAGAACAGTACTGCAGTCTGTGGCACGAGTTACAATGTACATGGCACACTACATGTATGTGGAGACAAGAGATACATGTACGTGCAATACAATCATGTATATTACTGAAATCACCTCCCTACCTCTTCGTGCACGTACGCTCTACGTGCATCCGTTTAAATCACGTGACAATGTCAAAGTCCAAGGTGTTTTCCTGGTTCTACCTGCCCTTCGCTGGGGGATACCGGTACGCAAGGCGTGGAAATGCGAGCAGCAACTGTCTTATCTAGATTGGCAGACAGTGATTGACGTGCGGCTACAGACCAAGGACTTACATGTAAGTCATGTACATGTAGGCAGTCATTTCCAATAGCGCAACCCACTGCTGATAACACACAGGTGGTGAGTAGAGCGTCAACATCACCGAGAGCGATCCCCTCCTCAGCCAGCTTGCCGCCAGACGTCTGCGAAGGAACTACACCGCATGTACAATTACTAGCACCTGGCAGTGTGTGCACAGTGTATGCGTAAAGTCTAGATGGCACGGCTATAGATTGGTTCCGTCCTTTCCGGCGATAATGAACATGTACTTGCAGGGCTGCTCGTGAAGCTCATCAGGAAATACGTTCCGAAGAAACCGCTGCACTGGACATTGTTATTCACACAGGATTCGACAGGAATCTACAATAGTCAATACTACATGACATGTACTTGTACTTGTGCATCAGATTTGCATACTCTGATATCTGAATCTGAGAAATCCAAACTTTTTCGTCACACTCAGATGGAGAGCCAAGGAACGCGGTCAAATACAATGTAGGGAGAACCGATAGTCAACACGTTATCCATACGCATCCACCAACACTATAAGGAATGGCATTGTACTGAATCTCCACGTAGCCCCCTGTATATGCAACTACTTAGACCTAGTATAGTAGTAAGTTATCACTGTGGGTCTCAGCAGCGGAGCTCAGAGTGACTGGACGAACGGTGATGAAGTCTAGTCAGAAACTCAAAGAACGATGCACCCTGTGGACTGGGAGCCACACTACACTCTCTCTCTACAGCAGCAGCTCTGGCACAGAGGCAAAGGCCATACAGTGTAAATTCATATTACGGAGAAGAAGAAAATCAGCGCTAGCTTCATGGTGGGAACCACGATGCATTGCATCACTGATACATGTATGCCAGAACATCCTACAGCCAGCATTTACCATAATAATATAGGGCTTGAAAGTGATGACGTCAAAAACGGCCAGGGAGTAGTAAGTTGACATCAGATTTCTATTTTGGATCCACTACATGTAAGGTGTGACTTTGCTATTGCCTCAGTATGTGGGTGCATAGCAACCCACTCATGTCGTATGCAGGGGTGACTTTGACTTCGCCACCAGTTGTAACCCCGCCCCCAGTAGCCAAATCAGTCAGTTTCACTGGTAACATCACCTTGCTGTGAGTAAGACGGCTTGAAATGTGCTTGGATCCATACAAAAACTGGATCTAAGTGGATCCAATTGTCGAATTTTTGAAATTGTTGCTATGCTGTGACGTAGCACTTTAAAGCCCTATTATGTACTGAGTAATGGTACAGGCACTAAGCGACCTGGCAAATACTTCAACTACGATTTGAATGCATCACCCAAGTAACATTAGTTGAACCAACACAGCCTTCTAGTGAAGCTTGGAAGGCTCTTGGTTATAAAATCATATCGAGTCGGTCGACGATCCGACCTACGGTTATCGCGATGCAAGCCCTCACAGTAAACAAAGAATATTGTCAGTATGCAGTAGCATCCGTGACGCAAGTTAGCAATGGAACTACGTGTAGGCTGAAGTAGAACAGAGAGGTTCTTATTGTTTGTAGGCTGAACTGTGAAGCATGAGAGTTTCATGGCTAGCCGCCAATCCTCAGAAAACAAAACGTTCCATTGCTAATACCGGTAGTGGTTAGAGCATCGCTGGCTGCAAGCGAGGGTCCCTGGTTCGAGTCCAGGGCTGGTGGTGACAGTCATTTTTTCTTCACGGACTTTTCCCGTTTGTGTCTTTCCCTCAAACCAGTGAATATTCCATTGCTAACTTGTGTTTTTTGACTCCGTCCTCGTGGTATTGAGCACTTTTTGCAAGGATTTAGCAACTTAACTTAAAGCAGTCCTTATCACATCCGATTATTACGTGTTCAAGTATCAATATTATTATTATAAGGACCGTGTGATGATGTAGTTGAGTTCTGACGGTTAACAATGGCTCATCTGCGCGACTGGGTGGCTCGTACACAAGGTTCTTACTCTGCGCCGCCAGAGAAGCCTCTTACTTAACTCAGCACCAGTCACAAGCGGTGATAAGAAACACCTGTATTTCTGCAATTGCGGCGCTAGGCGCATTGCTGTCCGCAGTTCGTCTGCTTGCATGCACGG